GGGAGTTTTTAATAGCAATTGGGTTAATTTATTTTATTGTTGTTACAAGAAGAGATAGATAGGTGCAATAATAATTGTTTATGCGGTGTAATATTTTATTAGGTTTGTGAGGTTGAGGTGATCTTGGTAAATTGAGTAGCTTGGAAATATTATTTTAGCTGTTTGAAGGTAAGTAACCTCTATCACTGTTGGTTCATTTTTATTCCTACTAAATGTTTAAAATTATAAATATTTATTTAGTAGCTTTCCTGTTCTCTTAAAATAAAATATGGGTCAAGTATAAAACAACATCGAATATTATTATGGAAGTTATTTGAATATTTTGTGAAACTATTCTGAAAATTGTACCAAATGTTTATTCCGAAAATATCGAATGTTTTATTTAAAAGTTGTGTATTGTTTGAATTTTGAACATCACTCTAGTCTGACTATGATTTGGACTCTAGCCAATGGGGGTTATTTATTGGCACAGAAACTAGTTTCTTTTGGGGCTTTACCACCGGCCTATGTGTGGTTCTGGGCCTTGTCACGGGCTAAGTGACCATAGTCATTAAGACATGGGTTTTGTGAATCAAATCATTGAACCATCTGAATATCGAGCCATCGATTTGAACAACGAATTACTTTGAATTATCTTGTTGGCTTTTCATTTAAAATGTATTGTACATTGTTTATTTTTAGCTGTGAAACCACTTTACAAATAATTGTTCATCTATTGAACTGTAGAAAAAATTATATTTATTGGTTATCGATTTATTTATTTTTTTTTTGTATACTTGATCCAGCTAGCAGTGATGGTTGGTTATTTACTGGGCTATCTAGCTTACCCTTATTTTTTTTCAGATTCTGAAGAGTAGAGCTGTGCGGGATTTTTTTTACATGTGGGAGTGCCGAGAGTAGGACTATGATTTAAGTACTTGGATTATTGTTTTGTTAGTGGATTAATTTAGTGGACTTGGTGGACATTTTCTTATAAGAACTATTTATTTTTATGGATTTTGGCATTATGACAATTAAGGATTTAATTTGAGTATTTTACATTGTGGGTTATGTGATTAGATTCTTAGCCTTGCATGCTCACTTATATGAGTGTGCGGCGTTGTCACGAAGCTTGGGGCGTGACACTACTAGGAGTGATCCTATATGTCAGGGCCTCCCTCTAAAAAAGAGTCGGGAAAAAAGGATCACGGTTATAGAAAAAGGTTTTATGTTGGTCAAGCCGACTGATTAAATTTTAATGACTTTATAACTATTGGATTGGCAATCTTTACTAGTTGGTGATAGAATTGCAAGGATGTTTTGATCCTAAAAGTACTGCATTAATATAACAAATTCTTGTTGATAAGACCATATCTAAACTTAAGGGTTAAGACATAAGAGGTCAGGGCGCTGTGAGCACCAATCCAGCCATTGAAGCAACATGAGGTACCGCAACAGGGACTTGCTTCGAGCAAGACAAGGCAGCACAAGCTAGGCAAAGCATTTTCAATGAATGAGAAGCACCTTAGTTCAGATTGTTTACATAATGTACACACTAATCGAATTGAGTTGAATTTCCCCCTCTTTGGCATGTCTTTAGGTGTGTGCTTCGCATGTGACGGAAATTGAACTATTATTGCATACATGTTTGTGAGTGCAAATAGCTACCCTGCAGTTGGATAATATAAGCAATCAAATCATGCTATAACTTTATGTAGATGGCAAGATTTTGAAACAAGAAAGATAGTGTACCAAGAAGGCCCACATAGTACGAAAGAGGGATATCATTTGGCTGGATCTTTCTCAACTGTTCTGGTTTTTTGATCAAGCTGTATTCTTCCCAACCTGTCATCCCTGTGACGAAATCACCAGGTTTGAAATTCGGGTTATCAGAATCCACAACTTTGGAAACACCGAACCCTTCTATCACCTTCACCAAAATACACCAGCAATTATGCAATTGTGGAGGGTGGCAAAAAGTGACAATTATGTATGAAATTATGATGAAATTCATATATATTATATAGTGAGAATACTGGCATCAATTCAAGTTGATAAGTGTATTAGACATTAGATCTAAGTTTTGATTTTTGTTGGTTATAAGAACGCATACACGACGGGAAGGAGGCAAAACCCTAAAAGTTTCTCTTATTTTTTTCTTTGAAAGTTCTTGTCAAGAGAGAGGAAGAGAGAGACGGCGGTGGTTCCCACACCTCTACGATCTCCCTCTCCTCTTATTCATCCTTCCTTCGATCCTTCTCTAATGTTTGCCTCATCGGTCTAGTCATCTCAGCTTTACCTTCTCCACTCTCAGGCTCAAAACTTTAAGATCTGGTTTAAAATCTTTTCATAGTCTGAAAATCGACGTTGAATAATGCGTTTGTTTCACACTAGGTAATTACCTCAACTTCAATGTTATATTTTGACCAGCGGATGTGGGATCTTCAAATTTCAAGTTGAAAGCTGTAGAGCAATGTAGTTTTGGATTAGCTCAATAACTACTTGGATATGGTGTTTTTTTCGGTATGGAGGTTTGTTTCCTCCCTTTGTGTCTTTTGTCCTCATCTATGAAGGCTTGGATCTTTCATTCTATGGAAGTTGTTTGTCTCTTTTTTAGATTTCTTGATACTGCTGTGTAGAAATGATCTAATTTTTTTATAGGTTTTACAATGAAGATTTTCTTCTTGATCTAAAAAAAAAAAAAAAAGAACACATGCATGACAATTCCTAATTGGTAATTTTAAGGGCATTCGGTTCATAAATCCAATTCTCAATTTTGTTTGGTCAAAAGTCCAACCACTATTTGTCCAAAAGGACAAGCTTAGATAAAAGGACCAAAATACCACTATTAATATCATATACACAACAGATCCTATTTCTCATTTCCAAACAATCTCTCTCTCTCTCTCTCTCTCTCTCTCTCTCTCTCTCTCCCTCCTCTGCATCATTTCTTCTCCGCCGTCACGCTCCTTCGTCGCTGTTCTACTACCCTCCTTCGCCGCTACGAGATCTAGATCTGGACATTTTTGGGAGAGGATCAAGGTTGAAGAAGACGAAGCTACCATTGATAAATCTGAGCTCCTCTATCTGTATGTTTGTCTTTCTTTACCTCTGTCTTTGTCTCTCTCTCTCTCTCCTTGAAACATTCATAGTCGTCGTTCTGTTTAGGGTTTGTGTTTTATCTATAATTACACAAGAGTCATGAACTTTGCGCTCAACAAGTCGAAACCACTTCGTTTATTCAGTGATTTAGGGTTTCTCTACAAATTCTGTGTGTGTGTGCGTGTGTATGTGTGCGTATTTTCAATTTGAGATTGTTTTAATTTGCTTAGATTAAATCGAATTGAATTTCATAGTGCTTAAATCTGATATCTATGTGCCCGATGATCTCAGATCTGTGGTTGGTGAATCTGTTAGTTTTTTAATAGATAGCAGGAATTTTGCTGGATTTGAACATAGATCCAACATAGATTAGTAGGATTTTTTATTTTTATTTTTTTGATTGGGTTTCTTATTGTTGATGATCTGTATATCTATTTTTTTTTCTTTTGTTGTTGTGATTGTTGCTGATGATGATGATGAAACAGATTGCAACAAATTATTTGTTCAAAATTTAAACATATAATGAAACAAATTATAACAAATTATCTGTTCAAAATTTAAATAGATAATAGGATTGATCTATTTAGATAGAAAGATTTGAATGAAAAAGATACTAAAATTGAACAGATAATAAAATTTAGACAGATATTTGAACAGATAAAAGGAAACTCCCTCTCTCTGTGTTCCTTTCTTTCTCCCTGTGTGTATATGCGTGTGTGTGCGTGTGCGCGCGGGCGGGTGTCTAAATTCAATAAAATTGAAGAATTTGATGAAATTAATGTTTGGAATTAGGGTTTGATGAAATTTGATTTGATTCATTCTGTAGAAATGGCTCAGATATAGATTTGGATTTCTAGAAATGTCCAAATCTGGATTTGGATCTGGGTTTGGCTAAGATATGTTGAAAAAAAGATAGAAAATATTGAACAAGTTATGGTTTGGGAAAGATGAGATTAGAATTTTTTGTTGTTGTTGTTGTTATATCACAATTTAAATAGATAAAAATAAAAAATTAAACAGATAGAATACAACGATTCTGGTTTCAACCCAACCCTTTTTAATTGCTTTGGATCCGAGAACCCGTGTATTTGACTGTTGTTCAACTCATTTCCATCTTGCTGCTTATTGAGTTTGGCTCTTGAAAGTTTTGGTTGTATTTGAAACAGGTTGGGAGGTTAGTTCTCAAAAAGTTGTTGCCTATCTTGTTCAAAAAAAAAGATATCTGCTTGTTTGCTCGAGCAACCATTCTTGCGCTTGAATGATCTTTTACAGTCTGCAAAACTATTGAGAGTTTGTATTCTTCACTCGAGCAATCTTTCTTTCGCTCAAGTGAACTTTTATAGGTCTAAACTACTAGAAATGGGTCATTGTGTGCTCGAGCAGTGGTTTTGGTCACTCCAGCGATGTCACTTCTTGAGTCTGTCGCTCGAGTGACCATTCTTGCCCTCGAATGGTCTTTTACATTCTACAAAACTACTGGGAGTTTGTATTCTTCACTCGAGCAATCTTTCTTGCGCTCGAGTGAACTTTTATAGGTCTGAACTACTAGCAAGGGGTCAGTGTACGCTCGAGCAATGGTTTTGGTCGCTCCAACGATGTCACTTATTGTGTCTGTCGCTCGAGCGACCATTTCTTCGCTCGAGCGGTCTGTGCGTATATCAGTCTGAAAGGAAGACCTTTTTGCCCACTTTTTCATCTCTTTCTCTCTCTAAACCTTACAACACCCTAGATCTACTTTCTCTCTATTTAGTTATTGAACTTTTATCCCAAATACTCTCAATTCGTGCATTTCCTCACCCTACTCCTTTGGAGAAAAACGTTGAGTACGTCAAGGGCTTCGTTTTGATCAGAACATCTAGCATTTTCGATACCATCAACTTCTACCCATATTTCTTTTGTGTCTTCTTCTTTGAGGTAGGGATTTCTTTGACTCTTTTCATGAGTTTTAGCTTAATTATTTGTCTTTTCAAAAGAGTTATGTGTTTGGGAGATTTTGGTAAAACTTTTGGTTTGGTTTGAAATCAAAAGAGGGGTTTTCCTAATTGATTCTTGAAAATGGTTGTAGAAATATAGTTGTGGATGAGTTGTGTTAAATGGTGGAAGCCTTTCTCAAAATTGATTTTTGGAAAAGAAAATAGGGTTTTTGCCCTAATTTTGGATAATTGAAATTATAAAAAGGATATGGAAAAATGACATTGGATATTGTGAAATTAGAATAATGATAATGTTGATGATGATGGTGGTGGAGTTAGATATGTAGTATCACTCCCATAGGAATTGATAAAAATGTACCTTGTGATTTGAATTTATCTATTGTTTAAAAATATCTGTTTTAGGCTATCGGTGAAGGATAGTCTTGAATGTTGCAGCCATTGCATGAGGATTAGGTTGAATTGAAACTAATTTTTCATCCTTTGTGGATTGAGCATCATTATACATTGAACATTGTAAATGTAATGGTTTTTAAGAAAAATGGGTGAATACCATCGTGAATCTGGTTAGGGGGTGTAGTTGTGGTTTGATTATGTTGGCCTGTGTGTTCTTGGTGAAAGTCCAGAAACTAGCGTGGTTAAGTGCCAATCCTTCCGGTTAGTACCAATAAAATAGCTTTGGTAGTGCTTATATAGTCTACTTACAGACACGTACCTAAAGATTCTCAATGTGTTGTATTCACTGCCCTGTTTTTTGTATAAAATGATTATTTTTCATGAATTAATCTATAATATGGCATTGCATAGTTTTGAGATGGAAAACGGAAAATGTTTGGAAAATGGCATGCATTGTGCATTCACCTTATGATTTTGCTACGATTTATATATTGTGTTAGAATATTTCTACTGGGCTTTGGCTCACTCTATATAGGAAACAACTTTCAGGTGCTGATGATATGCCTCTACCAAGGACGTAGCTTGGGAGGACTCGGAACTTAAGGCTTCTTTTTGGTTATGTTTTGATGTAATTATTTGTTTAAGCCTTGGGCTTTATCTGTATTGAGTTGAAACTCATTTTGTTGTAACCAAGTACTGACTTGGAAAGTTGTAAGCCATTAGGATATTTTTTTATTTGATATTAATTTTCTTTCTATTCTTGTATCGATGTCATATGCTATCGATTCAAAATCTAGGATTTATGAATGTATATTGTATATGTCACATTTTGTAATGATCAAAGATAAAATGAATGGAAGATATCAGATTATTGATCAATTGACTTATTACTATGAGTTGGGTTTTACGTTAATTATTTTGGGGCGTGACATAGAAAAAAATAGGCTTGTGAAATTCAGTAGATAAGAAAAATAAGCTTTGTGAAATTCAATCGGTGAAAAAATTGAACAAATAGACAAAAAATTTGAACAGATACGAGATTTTTTTAATAGATAGGTAAAAAATTTGAACAGATAGGAAATACATTGAACATATAGCAAAACAAATTGAACAGATAGTCAACGAAAGTCAACAGATAAAAAAAAGTTGACAGATAAATTAAGGGATAAAATTGGAAACAAAATGTCCTTCAAAACAAGAAAAAAGACTTCTCACTAAACTATTTCACAAAGGGTGGATTTGTCACTAATAAAAAAATATTCATTGGACGTAGTGCCTTACAACCTCCTTAGATTGGATTTATCACCAATTTACTTTAATTTTAAACATATGGTAATAAGGACAATTTTTGATATTTTTGTTCTTTATATGTATTTTGTCCTAAAGATTCTAAAATCTCACTTCTACAAATTTGTTTTTAATAAAATTAAAACAGATTTGTTTTTTTTTTTTTATAGATTTGTTAAACAAGATTAATATTGGATACAAATTTCAAAACAAAAAATAATAGATTGATTTTTCGAAAGCGTTCCAAGCCATCTTTGACAATTTTGGATGGATAGATCTTTAAAAAAAAATAATAAAATAAAAATAAATAAAAATCTATAGAT